TGGAGTTTAGGCATGGGGTATTTGTTACATCCTTCAGAGGCTGTAAGCAGCATTTCTAACATGGAACGGATTAACTTTATTCCATCAAGTAAGCTATCTGGATTAGTGTCTGAATTGTAACATTATAGTCAGTAACTTTTGTCAAGTTTTAAAGGCAGTTCCCTACAGTACACCCAAAAGCTACAATCATGGGTTGCATAGGATACAGAGACTATCTGTAACCTCAGATATTGTGAAAGCCTTGAGTCAGTAAGAGAGAGGATACAGAGGAGCACACTAAATTAAATCAGCAAATGAAGTTTTTCAAACTTCACAGAAAAGAGTCCACAAAGTAAGCATCTTCAGAGTGACAGTAGTAAGAAAAAAATGAAAAGCAAAATTAAAAGCAAAGGAAACCATTCCTTTGATGTGGTCTCCTTTATCACATTCTAGTTTATTTTAAAGCACTTTATGATGCATAGAAAAGAACATAAAATCGAAACTATATATTAACATGTAGACTGAACTTCCTTTAATACCAAGAACATGAATTAGCTTCATGTGTTTTTGTACATTAAAAAATGTGAATAAAGAATCTGAAAAGCAGTGAAAATGGGAAAGCCAAATTTTCTAAGGTTGCAACACATGCATCTCTAGTCTACAACACAATAAATGAATTTGAGACAAAATAAAGTAAAACAAAATAGTAAAACAAAAAAATCGTTTATTATAAATATACTGTTTTAATTAAAATGCAAATTTTATCGAATAATAAATGTCAAGTTGTTAATAGAAGTGAAGTCCACTGAAATTTATAGATGGAAAGTACTATGTAACTGAAAGAAAAAAGTGCCAAGAATGAAGTACAACATTTGAAGTCTTCCCTCTCAGTGCAGGAGCTATACTAGGATCAGAGGCAACTGACGCCTCTAGGTATCTGCCAAGATCAATGCTGCCAAAACCTAACACTAAGCAACTAAATACTATGTAAAGTCTACATTGTAGTGTCTGAAAATAGCCAGAAAATAAAAAGCATTCAAGCCAGAAGTGCTAAGATATATAACTATGCACTTGCAAGACGGTGTTCCTCCTTTGAGTACAGGAACAACCCAAAATAAAAAGGGTGTTAGTATATATTGCTGGGTACTCCTTAAAAGAAGGGTCCAAGGTCTCCCTGGATGTACACATTTCCTCAATCCAATGGCATTTACACATAGCACCATCAATATTTGTTTGAAGTCATTAAATAGCTGCCCCACGGAAGAACTGAGTCTAAGAAATAGCAGCCTACTCAAGTCTGTATGTGAATATATAGCCAGTCAGGGAACTGAAGCAAGATGTAAAGTAAAGGTAAAGGGACCCCTGACCATTAGGTCCAGTCGTGGCCGACTCTGGGGTTGCGGAGCTCATCTCGCTTTATTGGCCGTGGGAGCCAGCGTACAGCTTCCGGGTCATGTGGCCAGCATGACTCAGCCGCTTCTGGCAAACCAGAGCAGCGCACCGAAACGCCGTTTATCTTCCCGCCAGAGCAGTACCTATTTTTCTACTTGCACTTTGACATGCTTTCGAACTGCTAGGTTGGCAGGAGCAGGGACAGACCAATGGAGCTCACCCCGTCGCAGGGATTCGAACTGCCGACCTTCTGATCAGCAAGTCCTAGGCTCTGTGGTTTAACTCACAGCGCCACCTGAGTCCCTGAAGCAAGATGTACTCTCTGCCAAATACCTGCATGATCATACAACTTTTATTTCGTCTTTACTGGTGGATCCTGACCTTAGAGTTATAATTAACCAGTCATTGCACCTCAACCTTTGAGTAAGACCTAGACAAGTACCGTAATTTTATGTTTTCCACGCTCAGAGTCCCTGCCACATACAAAATATGAACACTGGACATATCCACTATACCAATCTTGCTGTCAGCAAGAAAGGTTCTGCTCTTCAGAACCTGGTACAAGCTGCAGTCTAGATCTCTTTTTGAAAGGGTTCTTAAACCATTCTTAAAACTCAACCTTAAGAATAAAACTCAGTGCCCCTGGTTGGCAGCTGTGAGAACAATATGCTGGACTAGAAGGACCACTGGCCTGATTCAACAGGCACTTGTACAGATATTACAAGTATTCCGTGCTCCTATACTGCAGCGTTTCAGTTCTTAATGCCTTTTTGTAATCCTGTGGCACACTGTGGGGAAATGGTCGGTCTCTAAGCCATTTCTACTGCTACATTTGGTCTCCCTTTAGTGAGCACAGTCTCACTCCTAAGACAATTACTATCTCTTTGGATGTTATCTCCTTTTAGAGTTAAGCCAAAGGCTTTCTTTGCAAATGCACCTGGTACTGGGCACACAGGAACAAGGCTGGTGCACTGTCAAGTCCAATAGGACAGACTGCACATAGAATCAAAGAATTATGGAGTTGGAGGGGATCACAACCCCTTACAATGCAGGAATCACAGCTAAAGAATCCCTGATAGATGGCCATCCAACTTTTGTTTAAAAACTCCAATGAAGAAGAGTTCACCACCTTCTGAGGCTGCTAACTTTTGTCTTCCGGGCTTGCTTATTTGAGTGCCATGAGTTTCACAGGCAGTTCCAGCAGTAAAGACAGTGGTCTTATTTCTCATCCTTTTAGCATCTTAGTTATGTCTTCTGAGGGATGCCTGAGGGCATTAACCTTTGGGTGCATATGCACCAACCCATAATGAGCTCACTCAACATATTAGGTCAAAACTCAACCAGATGCAGTGTAGTGTTAACGTTTGTGTGTTTTCAATTTGATGTAGATTGTGTACAGATGGATGGTATTAGGCAGCTAGTGAACTATTATATTAACAACAACATTTATTTGCTGGCCTTTCCTATTTCCAGCCAATGCCCATTGTCAGCTGCCAGAACTTCTCTCTCTCTCCCTTCAATGGATCCTCACCCATTTCTCATTCAACAGTTACTGCAGTTTTGCACTTGGGGATTGTATTTCTGAGCCTCAGCAGGCAAGCTCAGCACCTATTTATTGTGGATTGTGGCCATATCCTTTGTGGCATGGGAATATAAGCAAAATCTAGAGCAATGAAAAGCTGGTGACCATCAGCCTATTAAGTTGGTGACCTGTCTCTATTATTTTGTTGCAACTAGTTCTGCCATGTTCTTGTGTATCTGCACATGCTAAAATCTGGACAAAGCTCCCAGGTTGAAGCCATAACCTCTCCTTTGGCAGTGTTTCACAATTTGGACTAGTGCCTATGGCAGTTTCCTGGCATCTGCATAATCTGGTGTGAGATGTTAGAGAAAATGGAATGGTAGGTTGGGGGGCACATTGCCTCAAAGGAGTGGAGAAAAGCAAACAGGCCATTGCACTTCTTCACAAATGGGATGGCAATGGGATGATTCAGCATTTGGACAGTTCTCACAAGCTTCCTGATTTCCATTGGCCAGGCAATGTTCACCCCTCAAGCATGGACAATGACATTTGGCTGAAGGATATTCATTCACACTTCCCCAACGCATCAATGCAGCTGCACTGGTGAAACAGCGTTCAATTGTTTGGCAGTGGAGTTAGACTAAAAGAGCTGTCTTCCTCCTGTAACACTTGAGTCACATTTTATGCCATTCCACTTTTCCCAGGTTCCCCAACTATAGGTTGAGGTTCTTCTGTCAAACAGGCAGGCTCTCAACACCATGTGTGCTCCTGTCCTTAGGCAACCAAATTCATTGACGCTGTAGCGAACAAAATATTAGGCTGTTTTAAACCCAATATTGTTTTCTTTTCCCTCACTTCAGTAGGATTCCTGCTAGGGCTGGGTGATATCTGGTTTTAAACATCTTGATATATCACCAGCTAAACACTGCAAGATACTGACATATCACAATGTCTAAAATAAGGATGGAGCTATGTAGAGGCATTGACTGGCTTTTCTGTTTTTCCCTGCATGACAAACACACACAAACCATGATTCATGATATATTTCCAGGTCAAAAATTATGAAACCAATATCACAATATGAACTTCAAATAAGTTTAGGTCATTATACTGATATATCGCCCATCCCTAATTCCTGCTGCAGGCAGATTTTAAAAAAATAATAATAAGATGTATCTACACACCTACTCCAGACTAAGTAAATTCCAGCCAAATGTTTCAAAACTCCTTAATTTCAGTTGGAAGCAGCAACATAAACTTAACTCTCTTCACTAACATCATTTGCACTTACATGAAAATATTCTTTAAAATGAGTGATTTAAGACCTGATAATTACAAAATGAATTAAGCATGTCAGTAAAACTATTTCTACAGTTACAATAATTTTCCTAAATAAATTCTCTAAAACCTCCATGATCTGGAGATAGAAAAATAATTATGAGATAAAAGACCATTTAAAGATGATTTAATTAATTCAGGATAAAACTATAACTAAACCATTTATACAGTGTACATCAAATCCACATTTCAAAAGTATATTTTCTGTGCAGAAAAATAATGAAGGAAAATAATGGATAATAGAGAAACAATTTTGTCTAAAATAACCTCCTTTGTGAAAAAGTGGCTTAAGGACTACAATGTTTGGGTTTTTTAAAAATAAAATAAAATAAATGCCAGTCCACAAGAGGGCAAAAACTGCAGTATTTATTTAGCAAATCTGTTTCCATCCAAAAGATGGCAGTGGCAGATCAATCATCAGCCTGAACTGTATATTGCCAACAAAATTGGTGTGGGGGGAGAGAAAAATTTAAGAAACCCCTTCACGAAGTATGTTACTGTTGCTGGCAAGATAATAACTTCCCAAACTTCTCTTAAATAACTGCTGTACTATGGAAGGGATCACTGTCACCAGCAGAACATTTGAAAATACTAAAACCCCAAAACACTGCAAAAGATCAAAATGGGGAAAAATAATGACCACACAACATTCAGGGAACAATTCTATCATTCTTTAATCATAAAAATAAAGAAATGGAGTTTCTGCTTTCTGAAAACTAATCTTCAGCTAAAACAAAAATAATAGACTGAATTAAACCATTAAGGTTACCTCTGCTGAAGCGATTCTTGACATCAACTTAAATCTGTGAATCAAAATCACCAAACACGCTCATTTTGTTTATTGAGGCATCTTACTTTGCACCTGCAGATCAGCAAAATATACCAAAAGTTATACATTACAAATAAAAATAGTCTTCAAAATTAAAGCAATTGTTGATATATCTAGTCTTTTTGCTTCCTTTGCAGGCCGATCCACAGAAGTTTCACTTACTAAGTAACTGTGTCAGGTTATTAAAAGTAAAAGAGCACCCCCCCCCATATCACTGCTCAAAAGGCTGACAACAGAACCACATCCTCCTGTTTGTAAATGAGAAAAATGTAAAGTGCTGAACTTGGGATGCAGTTACGGCATTCATTACATTTTACAATATTTCAGCTCTCCTTTCCTATGTCATATTAATGTTGCAGGGCATTCCCCAATAGCCCCTAACAACCAGCCTCGAACAGGAGCCTTGTTAGCAAAGGCTGAAACTGGTAACAGTGTGGCAAGGAAAGCTATCTTCGCTACCTACCCCCCAAAAAACCTTCCCCCATTGTGCTCAGTTCTGATTCTGAACCTGAATGTGTTATATAGCAGGCAGAGGGGAGCTTTTTAGTGTGGGAACCAGCACCCTTTCTCCTCCTGAAACCTCACCATATAGTGCATGGAGATAAGTTCTTTAACTTTGCAGCATGAATTCCCCCAGCCTTTTCTCCAGCACCAAGGTACAATGAACTTTTTAGGGGCTCAGGTAATCCCCTCACATCCCCATTTTCTCTCAACATTTGACTTTTAAAGCCACTGAGCATGATGTGTCAGTCCATTTTCGGTGGCTGTTTTTCTTTTAATTTACTAACTTACTACTTTCCAACATACTGGGGGACTCCGAAGTATGCAGGTACCTCCTCTTAACTGTGGGTGGCCCTGTTACCCTGCCCAGCTGACAGGCACCAGATCAACAGAATCAGCTATAGATGGAATGATGCTCATGCTGACTATATGTTGTGTGCTATCATTCACCATTTTAAACAGTTCCAAGACCGGTGGGACAGATGTCTGCAAGAGGACAGACGTGTACACAAAGACTGCAAAGAATGTAAGCTCCTTGGAGAGCAGGAAATGAGTATGACACACATTACTTGCCTTGAAGCAACACCTCCAAGCTCTTAAAGAGCCAGCATTTAAGTATATACTGTACAGTATATGAAAACCTTTCATGACAAGCTAGTCATGAAATTCCCTCTTCTATACACCTAACAAGGTAAAGGTAAAGGGACACCTGACCATTCGGTCCAGTCGTGGCTGACTGGGGTTGCGGCGCTCATCTCGCTCTATAGGCCGAGGGAGCCGGGATACAGCTTCCAAGTCATGTGGCCAGCATGACTAAGCCACTTCTGGCGAACCAGAGCCGCGCACGGAAATGCCGTTTAACTTCCCGCCGGAGCGGTACCTATTTATCTACTTGCACTTTGACGTGCTTACGAACTGCTAGGTTGGCAGGAGCAGGGACCAAGAAACAGGAACTCACCCTATTGCGGGGATTCGAACCGCCAACCTTCTGATCGGCAAGGTCCTAGGCTCTGTGGTTTAACCCACAGCACCACCCGTGTCCCTCCTAACAAGGGTACAGGAGCCCTAAGTCTGACTGGGCCTATAGCAGTCTTGTATATCATATATTAGCCTCGTACAGGGGTAGGCAACCTAAGGTCCGTGGGCCATATGCAGCACAATTGCCTTCTCAATCCAGCCCACGGATGGTCAGCGTGTTTTTACATGAGCAGAATGTGTCCTTTTATTTAAAATGCATCTCTGGGTTGTTTGTGGGGCCTGCCTGGTGTTTTTACATGAGTAGAATGTGTGCTTTTATTTAAAATGCATCTCTGGGTTATTTGTGGGGCATAGGAAATCATTCCCCCCAAATATAGTCCGGCCCACCACATGGTCTCAGGGACAGCAGACCGGCCCACGGCTGAAAAAGGTTGCTGACCCCTGGCCTAGTAGCAAGAGACAACTAATAATTCCATGCAAGCAAGTGAGCAGGCTGGCAGAGGAAGGGTGGACTGGTTCCTCCATCCCATACACAACCAGTAGAGAATCTGGCAGAGGGAATACTGCTCCCCCTACACCTTGCAGAGAAATGCAGGTTACTGCAGGAAGAACAGAGCACTCCATACTGCTGGCTGAGAAATCCCAGGGTGAAATCTTCCTGAATCAGTACTTTACCTTCTGTTAGTAAGTACACCCTGGCAAGCTACCCAGGCAGCAATGGAAAGCAGCAGCAGAGCTGGGGATCACCATTTACAGTTCCCAACAATGCCTCCAAGCAGGGTCGCCAACTGTTTTATTCAATACGGGACGGGGGAGGTAAGCTCTGCCCTGAACAACTGATCGCATGACACAGTGTGCACACACACCATTTGAATGGCAATGCCCATTAACCTTGGGGGCCACGGCCACCCCCAAGTATCTTATTTCGGCCCCTAGGAGTTGGCTCCTATGTCACTGTGGGAAATAAAAGTGGTGACGGGTTCTCCTTCCTTGGGAGGCTTTTATGCAGAAGTTGGGTGGCCATCTGTCATGTATGAACTAATTTGAGATTCCGGCATTGCAGAGGGTTGGGCTAGATGACCCTTGGGGATCCCTTTCCAACCAATTCTATGACCAGAATGAGCCATCCAATATCCAATGCTGCTCAGGACCAGACCAGATTTTTATTTAACCAAGTGTGTGGGGTGTTGTTGCTGTTGTTTGTGGGGGGGGATCAAAGTTGGCATCACTACAGTGGTACCTCGGGTTACATACGCTTCAGGTTACAGACTCTGCTAACCCAGAAATAATGCTCCAGGTTAAGAACTTTGCTTCAGGATAAGAACAGAAATTGTGCTCCGGCGGCGCAGCAGCGGGAGGCCCCATTAGCTAAAGTGGTGCTTCAGGTTAAGAACAGTTTCAGGTTAAGAACAGACCTGCGGAACGAATTACGGTAAGTACTTAACCCGAGGTGCCACTGTATTGGGCTTCGCCAATTGCAGGTCGTGGCCCTGGCTGCTTATTCTCTATTTTCCCCTTTTTGGGCAGGCTAGCCGCTTATGCTCGCTTGCCCTTCAAAGCTCGCCCATACGTAGCCGCAGCCACATTCACCCCACACCCGCTTTCCCCCCTCTCTCCCTCAGGGCTACTAACGTGGCTACTCGGGAGTAAGCCCCAGCGGCTGCAATGGGGCTTTGCCGGCCCCGGCCAAGGCGGGGGTTTCCTTCGCCTTCCTCCGGGGCCGCCAGAGCCGCCGCCTGAGGGAGGCGACCGAGGAAGAGGCGGCGCGCGGCTCCCCTGAGGAGAAAAGCGCGGGAACTTGGGCCAGCAGGGCCGCTGACGAGGCCAATGAGGGCGCCTGGCCCAGAGGAGCCTTGTGAGGGGGGCCGTTGGCTTCTTCCCGCGCCGCGCCCCCCCCTTAACTTCGCACTTGCATTTTTTTTTTATCGCCCCGCCCCCCAAGGGAAATCATCCCCACACTGCCTACCGGGGAACCGTATTCGCCGGCCTCGCTTCAAAATGGGGCAGCCACGCCAAGGGGAGCGGGAGGCGCTTTGCACACCTGTGAGGGGGGCTGTGTGTGAGTATGGGGGGGGGAGAAGCCCCGTCGCAGCCCCGCTTTTCTCCCGTCCCCCCCCTCACAAAAAAAGAGGGTCCTTCCACGCCAGCCCTTTTACACGCGAGTAAACACGCGCAGTTTCAGGCCCGCTCTCTGCTCGGCCGTATATTTTGCACGCGCGCTCGGGGCCTTTTTCACTCGCTCTTGCTCGGCGCAGCGAGACTCACCGCCGCCGCCGCTGCTGCTGCTGCTGCCTCCGCGCGCAGCAGTTCAAAGCTCCGGCGGGGCGGCCTCTTCGCAAAGGAGCTTCGGAAGGGAGCTGCGAGTGGCAGCCGCGGCGGCCAATGAATGAAGGCTCGGCCGGGTGTGTGTGTGTGTTGTTTTTTTTTTGTAGTTGTTCTCCCCCCGCCCAGGCCTGTAGCATCCAATCCTTAAACGCAGAAGGCGGGATTTCTCCTCCGCGGCCTTTAACGCTTCATAGGGACGCGGGTGGCGCTGTGGGTAAAACCTCAGCGCCTAGGACTTGCCGATCGCATGGTCGGCGGTTCGAATCCCCGCGGCGGGGTGGGCTCCCGTCGTTCGGTCCCAGCTCCTGCCGACCTAGCAGTTCGAAAGCACCCCTAAGTGCAAATAGATAAATAGGGACCGCTTTATAGCGGGAAGGTAAACGGCGTTCAGCTTCGTCACGCTGGCCACGTGACCCGGAAGTGTCTGCGGACAGCGCTGGCCCCCGGCCTCTAGAGTGAGATGAGCGCACAACCCTAGAGTTGGACACGACTGGCCCGTACGGGCAGGGGTACCTTTACCTTTAGCCCGCCAGCCGGGCAGAAAACAGAGGCCACGGGGCTTGCGCGGATGAGAAGTAGAACCTCCAGGTTCAGTGGCAGTCAGTGTGTCCCTGAATGTGAGCTGCGGGGAATTGAGAAGGGAAGTGGGCGGATACAGTAGGGGAAGGCTGTTCTTCCATAGGCGCCGACTCCATGGGGCCTGAGGGGGCTCGAGCCCCCTCAAAAAAATTTTTGGGGGGGCTCAGCCCCCCCAATAATCTCGGGCGCCCTTCCAGCAGAGCGCCTCCGCCGTCCCCCGCCTCCTCCCCACCTGCTCCCTCGCCAGCCAGCCAGCCAGCCGCGCGCCCTAGTCGGAGAGCCCCGGCCGTCCCCCGCGAGATTAGGGAATCCCCGGGGGCGGGGGCTCCTGCCTCGCTGCTTCGCAGCACCACCGCCACTGCCAAGGCACTGCCGGGGGGAATTTCCTTCCTCCTGGCCCCCGCGAGAACAGGGGAATCCCGACTGGCCACACCTCCCAGCCAGCCGATTGGCTGGCTGGGGGGCGTGGCTTGCCCTATTTAGGGCCGGAGCCACTTTATTTGCATATTCATGAGCTTATTTATTATTCATGAGCTTTCCCGGGCCCCCCCAATATTTTTTATAAGTCCGCGTCCCTGTGTTCTTCATGTCTTGTTTGAAGACTCTCGGGAGTGTTGGGTCTTCCTTGGGAACAGGATGCTGAACTTTAGGCTGGTTCACAAGGGCGAGGATAATCAGCAGTGACTCTTCCCTCCTTCTTTGACCCTTCTCCCCCCCCCCCCCCCGCATTCTGGGATTGTTATTCTTTTTCTTAATCATTTTATTAACATATCTACATTCAGCCCGAATGGTTAGAAGGTCTGGAGAGATTTCAAATTCTCAGGAGCATGAAGCTCTTTGGGAATTGGGGGTGGGGTGGGGTGTCAATTCAGTTCACCTTTGAAGGCAAATCAGTTTTTCCAAAACCATAGGAGAACAGAAACTTAAGCCATCCTTCAAAAATTCACTTCTCCAAATTTTAACGTACAGTTTTCCAGCCAAACCCATATTCTGGGTTAGCGGAGTCTGTAACCTGAAGCACATGTAACCCGAGGTACCACTGTACTGGAGTAAAGTGTGCACATAGTCCTGAAAATAAGATACAAACATGCATGCCATTACAGGGAATTGCTCCGTTAAAATATGTAGATTAGGCAAAGTTGCATACAAACATGTATCTTAGGAGAAATTTACAGTTAACTGCTGGTAAATTTACAAGAGGGTTTTTGTCATAAAAAATGCAAATTGATGTGGAGGACAGAACTTAAGATGCAAAAAATGAGAAACTGAGAGAACCTGAAATCGACAGATTCTATTATCCCTGCTTTGGGCTAATTATTCACTTTCCGCCTGACCTACCTCACAGGGTTGTGGAGACGATAAAAGAGGAAGCAGAGATCATATATATATCACTCTGAGCTCCAGCTGGAACTGCTGTTGTCAGTTCTTCCACCCCATTCACATAGCACCCCCCCACTCCCCATTCTTTACCTTCTGAGGTCCATCAGCCTGATCCTTAATGAGTTTTTTTCCCCACTAGTGAGTAGTTTTAGGACTCACTCTGATATCTCAGACAACTAATAAAGCTAACATCCAAAAATAAAATGTGTAACTGGTTGTGTTGTTTTGGAATCATTTTGTAAAAATTCTGTGTCAAGTACCGGTAGATTTAATTGCTTTTTAGACTATAGGTGCATCACAGCTTTGGACAAATATAAAATTATATGTATATTGTTAATTGACAAAATTTGGAAGTAATGTTGTATCCCGAACTCTGGATTGACTCTGGATCAGTGTTTGGGAGGGATAGGTCCCAGATTAATCGTGGTTTGTGCTGCTGACTACTTTTTCCTGCGGCGAGTAGCTGGATTTGTTGTTCTTGTCACATTTGGTCCTTAATTACCTAAAGGATGCCGCTGAGCCAAAGTAGGTGCTGATTCAGCTAGCTGCTGTTTGCAGAAACTCAGGAATACGAGCTCCTTGCAGCACAGAGGCTCTCTGCCAACTTCAAAGGGCTACCCTTCTCCAAACAGTTTGGGAGGCCCATAGAGAAATGCTGAAGTGTTCCCAGGGTTCCATCTTTTAATAAGAGATGCACAAGGACTATAGAAATTCAGAGGTTATGAACTCCAGCAAAACACGCTAGCCAATTTGTACTGACTGAAATTAAATGAATTGGAACTGGCAGCTTTCCTGACATGTCCCTTTTACAATTAAGGTATGCATTTGTTTCAACACACACTTGTTCAAAGAGGCAAAGCTTTCCATCAGAGTCAGATGGAGTTCAGGACATGCCTCCTCTCTCAAGAAATATATACCATCTTACATGGCAAAGCTTTCTGGTGAATTAGCATGCAGAAGTAACTTCACGAATGATTTTCCACAAAAAAGACTCTGTAATTAATATGGCATTGCTATACAAAGCCTGCTTGTTTTGTGAGGCTACTTCCTAATACATTTGTGTTTAAAAGTCAATATTGAAAAGCTGCATCTAACGGTAAACATTCTCATATAAACCAGGGTCCTTTCGTATACTCTGGTATTATTGCAGCCTTGTATAAGTACAAAGTAGGGGACGCGGGTGGCGCTGTGGGCTAAACCACTGAGCCTAGGACTTGCCGATCAGAAGGTCAGCGGTTCGAATCCCCACGATGGGGTGAGCTCCCATTGCTCGGTCCCTGCTCCTGCCAACCTAGCAGTTCAAAAGCACGTCAAAGTGCAAGTAGATCAATAGGTACCACTCCGGCGGGAAGGTAAACGGCGTTTCCGTGTGCTGCTCTGGTTCGCCAGAAGCGGCTTAGTCATGCTGGCCACATGACCCAGAAGCTGTACGCCGGCTCCCTCGGCCAATAAAGCGAGATGAGCGCCGCAACCCCAGAGTCGGTCACGACTGGACCTAATGGTCAGGGGTCCCTTTACCTTTACCTATAAGTACAAAGTAAGCATAATAGGGTGGGGGCAAGTTGATGCTGCAAGTTCCTGGGGGCCTTTTGGCGCAGGTATGGGGTACCTGGGACCCTCCAGTTGGGACTCCAACTTCCATCAGTCCAGCGTGGCCTATAATCAGAGATCATGGGAATTATAATCCACAGGTTGCCGATCCCTGGTTTTGAGGCTGTGATGAACTTAACCTCTCCTCTGTGTTTCTGGGTATGGGGCAAACATAGCTGGAAGCTTTTACCACTGCTTTTATCAAGGCAGCCGTTAGCTAAACAAAAATGGCAAGGAAATAAAAAAAATAGTGCGAAGATGAATCCCAAAGGTCTCCCTCCCTAAGCAAATTCTGGAACACCAGGTGCAACATCCTGCATTTTAGGAGATTTTAAAAACATTTCCAAATGAAAAGTATGTATGCAAAAGAGAGAGAGAGAGGCCTACCTGATATTTATCTTGGATTCCGTACTATAAAAACTTGCCAGTAGCAAATTCCAAACACCCAAACCACAGTTTCTTATACGCTCTCATGTGGTCCCCATCTCTCTCTCACACACACACGTACGCTATGGAAAAACATTCAAAAAGCCAGCATCAACATTATAAAAAGAACCCCCAAAGCAGATTAGCACCTCCCTTATAGGTACGAACACTAGGCTCTTATTCCTCCCGTCCATTTATTTATAGCCAAGTGGCCCAGCCTCAAATGGCCTTCAGAGCTGTACCCCTGCCTGGCACTAGTTTCAAACCTTTAATGGCCAGGGATGGTTTACAGTGCATTGACTCTGAATAAGGCCTCCCTTCTGTTTAAAAGATGTTGAATCAGTAAGTTGCTGTGTTTTATTGCAGCAATCAGTTGCAAATGTCCAGGTTGCGCTGAACTTTCATCAAGGGACAGAGTATTCAGGGCACAAAAGGTGGCAGTTGGGGGAGTATGCCACTAGGGGTGCCTTTATTTTTTGGAGGGGTTCAAGCACATACTGTACTGAAAAGGTATGTTTGCATGGCTAAAGTAGATCATTCAACAAATCCACTTGAAAACAACAACAACAATGGACTTTTTGCAGTTAGGAAATTGATGGGGGAAATGCACTGAAAAGTGTGGGCTGAGTTTTTGGTTAAGGTAGGGGGGAACTTTTCGGCAGAATAACTGTGAGCGGTGATACCAGGGCCCAAGAATAATTTAGTACAGTGGTACCTCGGGTTAAGTACTTAATTTGTTCCGGAGGTCCGTTCTTAACCTGAAACTGTTCTTAACCTGAAGCACCACTTTAGCTAATGGGGCCTCCTGCTGCTGCTGCGCCACCGCTGCACGATTTCTGTTCTCATCCTGAAGCAAAGTTCTTAACCCGAAGTACTATTTCTGGGTTAGCGGAGTCTGTAACCTGAAGCATCTGTAATGTGGATGTGCTATTGTCCCCCGATAAAAATGCTTAAGAGCTTAAGATGAAGAATGAAATCAAAGAAGCATCCAAAAAAAGGGGGAAATGTTGTAAGAATGTGTGACTACAACCACCCTCACACAGACTGGCTATTCTATATGTGTCCCAGTCATGTCAGAGAGATAACACTTATAGATACTCTA